GATGTTGATGCAACAACACAAACCTGAGTTGAGCACGTCCTGCAGAAAACTTTAAATCCCGTCTGACTGAAAACAGGATCCTTAAAACAGTCGGTGCACTGAACCTCAGCCATGCTTCCACAGAGCATGCACTGCAGGGAACCTGAAACACACACACACACACACACACACGTGTTGTATCCTCTGCCTGTAGGTCTCTGTGTGTGCTGAGCGTATGTGTGTGTGTGTGTTTGTGTGTGTTCACCTTCAGAGAGCAGGTCAGTGATGTCCAGCTCCAGTGAGGGAACGATTTTTTCAAACATCTTGAATTTCTTTCCAAATCGAGGCATCTGGAGGATGAGGCAGGACGGCACCTGACACAACACAACAAGAGAAGAGACGGTGACACACAAACACACTCCAGGAGACGAGCGGTGCGACAGAGACGCCTGCTGGAGAAAAACAACTTTACACATTTTATGTCAGCTACACTCAAAATATAAATGAGTCAAGTTTTCCTCAGGACCATTAGATGATTAATTCATTCGTTAGACTTTGATAATCAGCTGATTAAACGTATTAGCAAATTACAAATGTATTTATAGATCTGTAAATAAACAAACAGACTAAATAGACCTACACATGATGCCTGTGGCCACGCTGGTGTGGAGGCACGAAAAGAATCAGAAAGCATCAGTGCAACGAATCTGAAGAACAACATCAATGTATCTGACGTGTTTCACCTCGGCCAGTTTGAGTCCTGCGCTGTGGAAGGAATGCTCCAGCAGCTGCTGAACTGTCGGCAGCACCAAGCTGTGGTTCTGGTCCAGAAAGATCTGATAACAGTAACTCTCCTGCACTTTACCGCCCGCTGAGCTGAAGGAGAGAGGACGAGGGATCAGAGTCCAGACAAGTCGACGCACAGAGGCAACAATGAGTGTGTGACGGAGGTGTTGTGAGCGAACAGTTTGAGTAGAGGCTCCAGGGAGAGAATATGCTGCATGATGATGATGAGGAACTCCTCTGGATCTGAAACACAACATCGACACTTTCAACCAAAAAACACGAGTCACGCGAGTTCAAGCTTCCAGCAGCGCAGCAGGTTCCACCAACCCTTCTCGTCCGTGGTGAAGGAGCGACTGTAGCCGTGTCTCTGCAGCTGCTGCCGGAGCTTCATGATGTGCCGCCCTTCCACGAAGCCCTTGCTGCAAAGATGACAGAACACCAGCATCTTCATCAAAACGATATCTCAACATCGCTCCAAGAGATGGGAAATGAAAATGTGACACATCGGGCCCCTGGTGTTTTTTAAATACATTCTTTAAGTTCAGTGAAATATTCTCACCTGCGGAGCGGGTTGACAATGTCTCGGAGCAGTGTTTTCTGGATCGGGGCGTCCTGAGGGGTTGTTGATTTAAACAACATTGAGTCCAGCACAGAGGAGCAGGAAAACAAACTGAAAACACGGAAGAGAAAACATGAAGCATGGTCCCTGATAACTGCATCATGGAAAGTAGGAAAGTAAGTCAACTTTCCTGTGATTTGTCGAGTTAATGTGATGAAACCCTGATAATAGTTCGTCTCGCTGACCTGAAGAGGGCAGCGTCCATGTAGCAGGAGTTGCAGTGGCCTTGGATCCCTTTCATTTGTCCAATCAGAATCTGGTTCACCTGCTCAGTGCTGATTGGAGGAACCGTCTCTGTCTTCACTGAACTGAGCTCCATCTCTCCAACGCTCTCTGACACACACACACACACTAGTTAGTTATTGGTCACTAGTTACTAATTAGGGAGTTAATCCTCTTTCAGTCATGCACTGAAGTCTGGACATGTCTACTTGGGGAAACGAGGAGATGGCAGTAAGTGCCGATCTCCTGCTGCTTCTTCACATTTGAAAAACAAAGTTAAAAATGTTCGGACTCAATATTTCCGGAGTTCATGTCTAAAAACAGCATCTGAAGTCAGTTGATCAAATCATCTTCTAACCTGTGTCATCCTGTTCTGGCCTCTTCTCGCTGCGACTGGCTGAAATGCTCTGGAAGCGCGAGTCAGGACGGCAGGAGCTCAGCTTCACAAACAGCGCCCTCCGGGGGGGACACGTGAAGAAACGCTTGTTCTTAAAGGTGCCGTCACTCACTCCTCTGTCCTCCTCCTGCGGACGCAAACACACACTGATGTGACAACTGAGAGTCGACTTAAAAAACCTTGATTCATCTGTTGTTCAACACGATAACACATGTGAATATAAAGTTAGAGCAGCTGTATGTCTTTATTCCATTTTCCAATCATGATCAGGTGATCACACCTGTAGTAAAAGGTGTGAATTGCTCCTGTGATATGAGGAACCATCACACCCTGAATCTAAACCTAATGAATATCTGTAAAGCTTCAAAACGAGTTCCAGAATTTCATATTTCAATGCTGCTTCAATTGTGGTCCTTGGCTATTTCTGAATTTGTCAGAGTAAATGATACCAGCTCCAGTCCGGCCATGATCTGCTCTTTATCGGCCAGAGGGCCGATCCAGCGGATGATTCCGTATGAATTCCCTGCAGCCAGCGTCACCTCCACCACAGAGTTCACAGTCAGACTCATGTACAGATCTGTGTTCTGTTCAACCAGCGGCGCATCGACGTCGATCCTCTCTGGCTCTACAGGGAAGATTTGGATCAGATTCATCACACACATTGGAAATAGTCTCATAACTCATCGTGTGAATGGCTCCAACCTGCAGGGACCTCTCCCTTCACCACACACTCCAGCGGAACTTTAACTTCACCTCCCGTCTTCCCATTTTCATCCATGTCCTGGAAACATTGACACAGAAAGATTACAAATGTGTTTCAGACTGATGAGTTCAAGAAAGACCTGGAGGAGGAGCAGGAGCAACGTAAGACAACAAAGTGTCTCCAGACAGAAACATGGAGAATCAGAGACAATCTCAATCATCAACTGGTTTGTTTTGTCATCGACTGTGTTTACACGGAAACCAATAATCTGATTATGGACCTTATTCTGAAGAAGACGTGAATATTCCTGTTTACATGTTAAAGAGGATTCTCTGATAATGAATCCATCAACATTACGTCCACTGTGTCAACTTTTAAACCTCCAACCTGAAATCGAATGCACGACGCTGTCGTCTCTCCAAATCTAATTAAGACGTTTACATGTCAACATGATGAGACGAAGGTTCTGTAGTATCTGCATCGTCTTGTTAACTAACTAACATAAGTAAAAAAATAAGTAAAACACAAAGGTCACATATTATTAGGAATTACTGACTGTGGAGATCCGAACAAAAGATTGTCCGTCCTTTTCCAGCATGTCCACCACCATCCCATGACCGCATGTATCACCGATGAAGTACGTGACTCTGTCCCCGGAGGACAGCTCCTCTGTTTGTAGCTGTGGCTCAGGGGCAGAAGGCGTCAGGGAGCTGGGGACCAAAGGTCTGACTCTGGAGAACGGGACAAAAATGCCACAATCTTTTGCACATGAGAACAAGGTTTCATGATGGTGGGATCCATTGTTGTCGCCCTTCCCTCTGTCTGCTCCCTGGTGGTGGAGAGAAGCAAAGCAGAAGCAATGTCAGTTCCTTTGTAATTTTAAAATGGTTTTCCGAACATTTTACGATGAAGAGTTCTGGAAAATATCTAGAGCAATTGACTCAGACATCCAGCCTCTCTGGAAAATGTCCAGACTTTCAATGTCTGAAAGCAGCTTCAGAGATGCGCGGACAAAAGCTGCCTCACCTGTAGTTCAATCCCAAAGAAAGTTGCTGATAAAGGATTTAGAGATTGTGATTGGAGTTTCAGTCTTCCGATGTAGCGGACGATGCCCCTCAGCTCCTCTTCTCCTTCCTGCACCATCACTACATTGCCCACCGTGAGTCTGAGTGCTGTTTGGAGCGCAGCTTCCTCTCTGAACCACATCAGCCGCTCTTCACGATCAGGCACGGCCAGCAGCAGCTTGGCCCATTCCGCCGGCAGAACCGACATGCAACTCATGTCTATGGCATAATCTAAGAGCACAGATGCACCGAAGGGGAAGACCTTTAACTGAGAAGAAGGTCTGAGTGTTCTGTACTTGTATTCAGGGACATAACATATTTGGCCGGCATTGATGTGTGAGAGATATTCAGGTTTTTCTGTTATGATGAAGTAAGTGTTGTCTGGTGATGTCATGCTGCTGAGGACAGGAGGTATGACAGAGTCCTGCAAAGACACAAACACACATTTATTTGTTTAACGAGGACGGTCAACACGTTCCCTCCCCTCAAACCTTCACCTGATCTTAACGGCTCTGTACCACCGCAGCCAAGAAGAACTTCACCCTGACCTGAACTTAAATCTAAACTCAACCTTGACCTGCACCTCAAACTCTCCCGGATCTCACCCAAAGAGAATCAACAACAGAATCACAATAAAATCACATTTCACCAAGTACAGGGAAACATTTAGAAACTCAGAATTATGCAATATGAATGTTGAGCGTATCGATGGGTCTTTATATGACAGAGGGCTGCTCGTTTCATTCACACACACACACACACACACACACAGTCAGAGTGACTCGTTAATATAAAGTAAATGGAGCAAACAGTCGTTAGTGAGAATCTAAGTGAATGTTACCTTCACTAGTTCGGTTTCTTCTTCTGGTTTGAGTCCTGGATCAGTTTCACTTTCACTTCCTCCTCCTGTCTTCACCTCACTTCACTCTTCATGTCTCTGATCACAGAGTGTGAGTGAGTGAGTGAGTGTGTGTGTGTGTGAGTGTGTGTGAGTGTGTGTGAGTGTGTGTGAGTGTGTGTGAGTGTGTGTGTGAGTGTGTGTGAGTGTTTGAGTGTGTGTGTGAGTGTGTGTGAGTGTGTGTGAGTGTGTGTGAGTGTGTGTCCAGCAGCCAGATGTTCCTCTAACACAGATGTGTCGTCATCGTGCTCAGAAACAGCAGTTGTTGTTAAAACAGCTGATCTCTGTTGCGCGTCCTGGTTCACGCCTGAAGCTTTTGAACCCTCAGGCTGGTCTGACAGGTGGTTTTACGGTGGCCGACAGAGCTCAACGCACTGCGAAGTGTGAAAACATGCAAATGCGGAATATCAAATGAATCGATGTCATGACGCGTCAGCTGAGAGAAGTCACAACGCATGTGAATCAATCCGCCAGGTTCATATTTAAAGAGTGCGTCCAACAATCTCAGTCATCTGTGTGGCTGAGATTCCACCCTGCGAGACGACACTGGGGGGTTCACTACCTCAAAGACAAATGCCGCTCTCTGATTGGACAGTACAAACTACGTCATTAGGAAGGGCCCGTAGCCGTCGCATGTTTGATGCCGTGTCAGTTCCGGCGTAAACATGGAGGAGCGAGAAGCGCTGAAGCGACAGATCGAGCTTCTTCAGGGTGAGTCTGCTTTCACACGTGTCCGCCGGAACCCACTCGAGTAAAGAACCTCGTCAGATGAATCCTCTGCTTCCGGAGCTTCCGGCTCTCATTTCAAATCTAACGTCCGTCGTCAAACCAACGGACTCACCTGGAGTCAACCTGCTCCTCCTCACACACGTTGTGAGAAACGGTCTCCTGGTTGTTTCAGCTGCCGAGTGTCAGCTGCCAGGAGCCGGCTCACGGGTTTCCTCCACTGACACCACGTGTTTTAAGCTAGTTTAGCATTAGCGGGATGTGTGTGTGTGTTTATCTGGCTTCACTAAACCCAACAGGGTGAACAGGATGTGGGTTTAACCAGGTAACTTTAGGTTTAACTCTAGTTTAACTCTGGTTTAACTCTCTCAACTGTGCAATATTCATTCTGTCTGCGCAACACAATGATTCATGAACATTCCTTTCACAGTACCTAATGTTTACACGGTATATTTTAGTATTCTATTCATATTTTTATATTTACTTATTAAATACTAACTCATGCCTATTTGAGACTCTTGCTGCCAAGAGTATTGTGGGTCTAATCAAGGATTATCTTATTTTATCTCTTCTTATCTTGTGTTACTGGGGTAAGTTACCATGGTAACTTATGATAAACTTATGTTTCAAAGAACAGGTTAACCAGGAGAGACTGTGTTGAGTTGAGTTAAGCCAGAGAACAAACATATTTCCACAGTTCGGGATCTTTGGTTAGCTGGTTCAGTAAACTTTTTCCTGAGTTGATAATCTATGTTCCTAATTCCTGGTTATCAATAATGTGTGAATCATTTTGTGGGATCTGCAATTGAGCTGCAGTTTAAGAGTAAAAGCACAAACAGGATTAAAACAAATCAATAAAGTTATTAAGTATTTGTTTAGTGTAATAAACTCAATGTCTGTTATTACACTAAACTGTTTTTTCTCAAAAACCCAAACAATTCGACTCATCTATAATATGTCTTGCTCTTCATTACTGGTCACTTAATTCTTATCCAAACCTTTTATCTTTTTTTTAAATCAATGTTCAAGTGTTTAAGAACTAATTAACTCCCATTCTTAAATCCCCAGATCTCATCAATAAACACAAGAGTGTCCATGGTGATGCACCGTTTCCAGCAGCTGAGCAGACGCATCCACAAGCTCCATCATTCACCAGAGGCAGAGGTCACAGCACATCTGTGGGCCATCCTTACAGCTCCACAGGGAGAACTTATGCTCCTCAGACTCGAGGAAGTTGGAGAAAAACACACTCGCTCAGAAACAAGAACCCTCAAACCTCTCTCGTACATCAATCAGCTTCTTCCTCTTCCTCCACCGAGCCTCAGTCTGGTTCCCAACCTGCAACCCGCAGCATCTCACTGCCCAGCCTCAGCAGAGGAGAGGAGGGAGAGGGAACCAAAACTGCACCTTTATTGTCAGGGATTGCTCAACAGAAGAAAGAGAGACATGTAAGCACCACAGGGATTAGCGAAGATGCATCAAGGAAGCCATCCCCAGATGATCTAGATAAAAGTTCAACAGCCACAAGTTGCCAACATGAAACCCAACTCAGACCAACTCAAGGATTTCAGCAGAAAGCTCAAGTTGTTCCAGAAAAGATGGCAGGTGTTTCTTCAGAGGTATCCTCTGTAAAGATCAATACTCAAGTACAGATCAAACCTTCCCTGATCAGCAAACCCAGCGATAAACAGACTCCAGTAGCTCCTACAACTGCTGATATCATATCACTGCCCGCTGATGTGTCTAAGGTAGCGGTAACCAGCCAGGCTCAAGCCAGCAAGCCTTTTCTGAAAAAGTCCAAATTCACGTGGGTGAAGAGCCAGAACGTGGGAGGAGTGGAGTCCAGACAAGCTACTTCTGTTTCTTCATCCCCAGGAAAAGTTGCGTCTGTTTCTCCAGCCTCAGCCTCTAAAGTTTCCAGTGGAAGCTCCCCCTCATTCACATCCAGCAAGAGAACCCCTGCCAGGAAGTTACTGCGAAAGCTGAGCCCCATCACCATCGCCGCCAAGACCTCCAAGTACAAATGGGTCTCCTCCTCCGCTGGAGCCCAGACCAAGACATCTCGAAAACCTGTGTCACCAAAAGTCCTGACTCTTCCTCCGAGAGCTTTGGAGAAGGGAGAGGCCACCAAGAGACTCAGGTCTCCCTCCACTCCCTCTGCTAAAGTAAAAAGAGCAACCAGCTCTGCACTCAGCAGCCGGTACCGCTGGAAGGCTGGGGGCCAGAGTTCCCCCGGGGTCGCAACTGCAGGGGCAGCAGCAACGTCTCGTCGTAGGTCCGCCTTCATCTGGACGGCAGAAAAAAGCAGCAGAGGAGTGAAAGGAGGGCTGGTTGTTTCTCCATCTCTACCTCAACGAGCCTCACTCCCTTCCTCCTCCCCTGGTGGTTTCAAACTCCGCAGTAGGATGAAAATCATAAGGAAGTCCGCTAACAGGTAAAAAACTCAAGCTAAGTTGCATCCTCCTCACTTTAAATCTGCCCTGAGACCATTCAATTCTGATCACCACCAGAAGGTGGCAGCAAAGTATAACATAGCAGTATAGCATAACATATTTCACTGACCTTGCTCATGTGAGACTGTTGTTTGTTTGTGTATATATATATATATATATATATATATATATATATATATATATATATATGTATGTTGCTTACATAGATATTTCTTCACATAATTTGCTCTTGAGTAAACTCTCACTGATCACACTTGCCCTCTGTGGCCACAGCGGCGGTGGTTCGGAGAGAGGAAGCAGCCCGTCAGCAGTAAAGTTCTCCCCACGGGGCCGAACACACACCTGGACCAGGACTCCCACAGGAGTTAGGAGGACGCCCTCCAGGGAGCTGGTGTCTTTTGGTAGACACAAGTTGAGGCGACTCTCTCTCACCTCATCAAGGACAAGTAAGGAGCACAAACACACACAGTACCACAAGAGTGTCGTCATTTAGAATCATCCTGTTTTTAAAAACATAATTATTCGCAGTTTGCAGGCGCAGACTAATTAAATCCACGAACTGCCAACCAATTAGTTTACAGTGAAACAGAAGCTCTCTCAAAAATATTCAGAGATTTATTTCACTGACATGTTTGAGTGTAATTTACTTTTTTGGACAAAGCGTCTCAAGTAATTGGCCCCTCTGCTGTAGCTGCTCCAGCTGTGTCCAGTGGAGGGCAGCAGCTCACACCCATGTCTTGCTTGTCGGGGCTTTGTGTTACTGGCTGTCACAGGAGAGGCGTACACGGCTATAAGAGGAAGAGGAGGGGGGTTAATTGATTGCCCAATTCAGCCGTGATGGCGAACAAGTGCCGATAGCGGGTAATTTGCAGAGGTGGAGGCAGGCAGCGACACCGCTATCAAGCCTGTGCACCGCTCTCCCTCCAGTAGATAAAAAGGAGCTAATGCATAATTATCCTTTTGCAAATTGGATTGTTTTAACGAACTGTAGAATATAGGCCGAACCTGATGGAAAGCAATCATTGTTTTTACAGCCCCCCCCTCGCTCTCTTCCTCTCTCTGCCCCTCCCTCACTCCACTTGCCCCTCCAACTCTCTGGTCATTCTGCGTGTACCCTACACGCCTCATGCCCATCTCGGTGTAATCTCCCATACTCAATGGAGTCAGAAGACATTAGAAAAGCCATCACTATTAACATTAGGCTTTATTTCTTCCCATGGCTCTGTGTCTATCAGTCTGCTTCTCTTTTTCTGGTGCTTTAACTTCGCCTTCATCATCACTCCACCGGTTTTTTTAATGTCATGTGAACAAACCTGCCGTAGAACACATGCAGCTCTAATTAAAGATGTGGATTCAGAATCGGAGACACGGGAGAGGTGGAGCAGAGGTGAGCGCGGAGGAAGATGGAGTGTGGAGAGCTGGTCGTAGCCGTCTGTGCCCCTGATAAGAGCTGCTAATAAAGAGCAAATTGAATTACTAATGATGGGAAGCAGAGTCCCTATAGATGAGCCCGTTAAAACCAACCTTATGACCACTAACACATGCATGATAATACACTAGCAAACAATGTTTCTTAATTTCCTCCTCAACGACCAGCTCCAGCCTCCCCTCCTCACGTCAGGGGGGTGAGCGTTTTCCGAGGTGCTTGGTTATATGTGGTTTAATTTAAAGAGGGCATAAACCTAAGTAAGCAGTTAAAGCTGTAATGAATCAAGAGGAGTGTGTGTATGTATATATCTATGTGTGTGTGTGTGCTTGCACGCGCCCGGAGACAGCCATGTAGCCCAGATAATCTAATAAAACAGATAAATGTCAGGAACGGACAGAACAGAGGGGAGGATTGCTGAGCCGAGCGGCTTCAGGCCCCATGTGACAGGCTTCCGGAGCGTTTTAGGTCTCTATCTCGCTCTGCTTCCTTTCCTCCCTCACCACCTCTCCTCCACCCTCACTCAGTCTTTCTTCCCTCTGTAGCTGTCTCGTGATATTTTAATGCTGCATTTATTTTATACATTTTACAAGGGGGAGTGGTGGGGAAAGTTTGAGAAAATCTTCGGAGACACTGACTCGTGTACGGACACACACATTGTGGGTCAGATTGTTGACTTGTTTGTGTTATAGTGGGAGAGGCTCTGTGATGGTGGCACTGCCACCTTTGCTCTCTCAGCATCATCTTACCAACACAGTGCCCTCATCCACCCTCTGACACCACAGAGCCCATTACTACCACAAAAGAATCCCCTCCTCCTCCTCCTCCTCCTCCTCCTCCTCCTCCTCCTCCTCCTCCTCCTTCTCCTCCTCCTCGTTCAGGGATCCTGTTACCTCTCCTGAAGTGATCCCATTTATTTCACCCATAAATCATGTGCTGCTCTGCATCGAGGTCCCGCTCCCGCTGACATGTTCCACTTTCTCCAGTGATGTGCATGCACACACTGTATGTACAGACAAACACTGGGTTCACCGCAGATACATTTTCATAGATGTGAAAATAATTCCTCATGAAGTATTTTCTTTCCCGATCAAATTACTGATCATGACTGAACTGAGAGAATTTATCTTTTGGCATATTACCACACAGCAGCAAATCACCTGTTGACTCGTCTCTTTCTTTTAGGATCCTGTGGTTGTTTTTTCTATCGGTACGTTGTCTACTATCGGATGGTTGCAGTTTACTGAAATGCTAATTTGCACATTTTAAGTACATTTATTGCAGCTTCTTTAAAGGCTCCAAGAAATGAACAAATCATGGCCCCAGGTTTAATCCCGTCTGGTTTCAGACATCAAAATATTCAGAAAATGAGGTCTGGGACATTTTCCTAGTTTCTTTCTCATCTGAAGCAGCAGCAGCAGATTGTTCGGTTCAGACTCGTTCACAACAACAGGAAGATGTGGGGGACGTTCAGGAGAGGGGAGGAGCCTGTCGAGCAGCAGGAGTCTTGTAGTCCATGAATTACTTTGTCTTTCAGAGCTTCAGGATGTGGAAACCTAATGAGTAAATATTGTAGCCATTACATTTTTCATGCATTACAACATGTGCAGCTGCAGTGCAGCTCCCTGTTTGTCCTTTTCTAAATCCAGCTTGGCTCATCACACGTTTGTTTATTTTTGTTTGTTTATTTGCATCACTCTCTGGTTCACACTTGCTCCAGTTTCTCCCACTTTTGCTTCGCACTTGTGGCCACTTGTCCTGTGCTCTCCTGCTCTGACTGACTCACGCTCCCACATTTACACACACACACACACACACACACACACACACAGTTTGTTTGTTAGTTCAGCTCAGAGCACAGTGATTGTTGCTATTTGCACACTGGACTCCTCTCTCTGTATCATATGTTTATATGCACATTTTTCTCAGAACTTTTTATTGGTCAAATGATTTTCATAGTGTGTGTGTGTGTGTGTGTGTGTGTGTGTGTGTGTGTGCGTGTGTGTGATTCTACCATCAGCTGCTTTTCTACATACCGTTCCTTACATGCCATTCCCCAGTGTTCCCATAGTATTATCAGTTGGACGACACACACATTTGCACCATGAGGACCTTAACCTATTGACAACACACACACACACACACACACACACACACACACACACACACACACACACACACATTCTGCTCATTCCTCTGCACTTTCTCATGCTCTCTGTGTCAAACAGGTGGACCTCTTGTCTTGTCTTGTCTGTCTGTCTGTGGCTTTCTCTCTTCTGTCCTATTTACATCTGTCACCATCTCTCAAACACACACGCAAACAAATCCTTCACCTGCACTTGTTGTAACGATTTTAGGTAAAAACAGAGAAGGAGGTGCAGAATAAAGAAATTCGTTTTTTCGTGTCTGTTTCAGCATTAAGAGCAAAAACGCAGCTTGAACCTGCAGCGTGCATTAATCAATGTGACTATATATAAACAGTATGTGTATTCGGTTGCATGAATGATACAGTTTCTTGTGTAAGATGGTGTCTTGTGCAGGGCGTGCTCATTATAGCTCTCTGCCATGGTGCACGGTAACATTTGGCATTTTGATTAACCTCAGAACCCCGGGAGCCGTGCCATGCCAGTGAACAGATCCCTGTAGCGACCGCATGTCCGCATGTGTAACTCCTCCCCACCTGTGTTGTAAGAGTCCTCCCCTTTTCTCAAGCTCTCATCAAACTGTCAACTGGCCATAATTAAAGTTCTTACTCATTTGAGACGAACATGCAGATGGACATCTCTGGGTTTCCTGAGGACACATGGAGAGAAGTCAACACTTCTCTGTTTCACTTAACCAGGTCAGATGACCAATAAATTAGGTTCAATAAGTTTCAAATTGCTCAACAGGTTTAAGATACTATGTTTAAGAGATATCAACTTTATGCCATGCTCTGCAGCCTCCAGTCTTTGATTCAAATCACTTCATCAGTGTGTTTTTTACTGAACTCTTCAGATGAGCGTGTGCGTGGGTGTTTGTGTGTGTGTGTGTGTGTGTGTTGGGGGGGGGGATGCATCTACTCAGGGGGAATGAGCGGCATGTGTTGAAATGTGTAATCAATACTATTGAGTCCTGAAATGTTAGCCTGAGATGACTGTGACTCCTTTCCCAGTTAAGGAGGTAAATGTTTTCTTGGTATCCAGAGGAGCGGCCCATGTGCCAGGCTGTCTGAATAAATCAGAAACCTAACAGGACGCCGGCAGAGCCCCTACTAATTATTTGAGAACACATGGCAGGCAATGCAGGAGTCATGTATTGGTAAACGGCTTGGCTCGGGTCGGGGTGGTGCCATCTTTAACCACAGGAGTGGGAATCCTGACAATAACGCCAGTATTTTTATAGTAGTGAGCCAAATGGTTTTTTTCTGCATCCGTTTTAAATCCAAAACCCTTTACGGAGTCCTGTAAGTTAGACTTTACAGTCGTGGTGATTCTTCAGCAGTTGGCTGGAGCTACATGTACTTTGTGGACTAGGTTGGGGGAGATAGTGAGTATTATAATAACATGTCCTCTTAAATTCAATCAAACCACATCAAAGTGCAAAACATTTCTTCATCAAGATCGATGAATAATTACCTGGGGAAATCAGTGAAAATGTAAAAAAAACAAAAACATAATTAATATAATTATAAAAGTGCTGTCCTGATCCACGTCTCATTCTTCCACCAAGTTTCATGTAAATCCACTCAGTTCTTTCTGTGTAATCTTCCTGACAAACAAACAAAAAGCTTGGGATGAAAAATGATTTTGTTCTAACAATAATAGAACATTTCACAATAAGTCATCTGTTTTTTATAAAAAACAAATTATTGTAAACCAACAGCTGCATGAAAGGTAGAAAAAATGTGATTTGAAGAAAATCTGCAAAAACTAAAACACTGCATTGTTTTATTATTACAGTTTAAAAACATGTGTCCAAAGTTATAAATCTGCAAAATGTAACAGTAATGCAACACAATCACGAGTCCTGAGCCGTTTC